AACTTTTGTTTTTACAACACATTCTTTTCTGAATATGAACTTCTGGTGGGCTATCCCTGTAGCAGAGATTTTAAAAAGAGAGTGGGAAAAAAAGCAGTGTAGCAAACCTAACCAAAATATCGACTAATATCCATATCTCACATAAAAGGGAGGTTGGTCATATCCCTCTTATATTAAAAAAGAGAGAGTGTGTATAGACCAAAAAAAAAATGTGTTTCTAGGAATTTTTGCTTTATTTAGATGAACATATTTTTTAAAAATGTTCTAAACCAGGCTTTGTAGATAGAATTTTATTTCCTTTATCAGTAACATTTTTGTCTATGTGGTTCATATTTTTCTCAGCTCCTCCTGTATTTATCAGTAATTATACCTCAATGTTTTGACCATGTTTTATTCTAGAGCAGAAGGGGTTGGTTCAGTTTTTAATTCATCTAAAACTTTCCTTTAAACATGATCAATCCCCAGAAACCCAAATCCCCTTTTCCTTCTGATTGACAGAAGCAAAGGGTAGCTTCCCTGGAAATCTTAAATACTTGGGCTAGTAGTCCAAAAATGATTCCTGGGGAGGACCAAGGAAATTTCATTGAACCCCAAGAAACTGCCACCTGGACATGTGTCCTCCTTCCACACCCGTACATCCAAAGTATCCATAGAGGTTGCAACCTGGATATACCGTTTTAAAAGTGAAGTCCAGGCACCTGCCTCAATGCTCCTGCATACCCCACCAAGACACATCTTAGGTCACCAGGGAGGCAATGCTACAGCATCAAAAAAGTTCTCCCTCCCCTTCCTGGTACCTATACTCCAGGTCTCACAGAGAGTGAAATTTAGGAGGTAGCTCCCAATAAACCAGCCTCCAAGACAAGAAAACTCCTAAGATACCAAGGTGGGAAAGAGAGAACTGGGGCAGCATCATACTAAATTATTAAAGTGTAAAGTCTCTGAAATACCAAATTTTAAGCTTTTCAAGTCTGAGTTTTGGCCACCAGGAGCTTATCTCCTAAATTGCAATGGTGGTCCTATATTCATCTGCTGCTATTATCTTTCATGTGCTTTTTTGTGGAAACAAGTTAACAATGTTAGGTGGGATATGTCCGCTTTAAGGTTTGAATGGAGTCTAGATTTTGAAGAAGAGGTAAAGGGTAAAGATGGGTGTAAAAGAACATCAAATAAGAAGTGGCAGGCCTAGAAGTAAATAAGATCATATGTTGAGGATGGTACAATTTATAATGTAAGATGAGAATAAAGTGCTCAGACTACATGTCAAAGAAAGAAAAGAGAGGTGTCCATTTGAGTTGCTTTGGAAGACTCCAGCAATTACTTTATCTGATGACCAGGCTGCTGAAATGAGAATCTGTGAAATAATAAATTATATAAGACAATAATTAACATTCTCATTCATGCAGAAAACAGTTTTTATTAGCGATACCCTGTAAATGACTATTAGTAGAATTTTCTAACCTTTAGAAATATGTATTGAATTCTTCCAGCATCCAGGTTAATGAAAGCAAGCAGCATGTTATCTCTTGAAAGTTCACTCTGTTTCATTTTTATGTCCACAATTCCCACTCATGTCTAGACAGACGAGCTGAATTATGGGATCACATCCTTGGATTCCCTCATGCAGCAGCTGAGGCTGTTAATAAGGAGACTTGTAAGAGCAAAGATTCAAACTATTGCAAATTGAGAAGTTAGTGACATGACAAACACATTGTCATAAAGTTTCTTCTTTTTTATTAAGGGCACTTTTTGGACCTCCCATGCAATCTAGTGAAGAGTTAGAAGAAGAGAGAGAAACTAGAGATAAGATAAGGGACAGTAAGTAGTCGAAGGCTGGGACCTTTTTACGTCTCCCCTGAAGACCAACTATTTAGTAGAGACCCTAGACCACAACTCAGGATTGCTATTTCTGCCATTTGTCTCTTCTGTTCCAAGCTCTTTGGGGTTTCTGATTCTGGGGCAGCAGACACTGGCCGCTGTTTCAGTGTGGCCCAGAGTCATCTCTCACTTGTGTTCTTGATCCTAACGTAAGGAATCCCATGCATGACGCAGTGCTGTCAGTATTTCTTTGAATGATGGGAATTACAGTTCTCCAGGTCCGTGGAAAATGCTTTGGAATTGTGATCAAGATGACCTGAGTTCATCTCATTTCCAGTCCTTCCTACTGTGTGACTCTGGACCAGTTACTTAAACATTCAGTGCCTCACTTTCCTTATGACAATAATCATACTACCTTCCTACAGGATGGCTATAAAGAAGATACCTTACACCACTATCTATTTAGATATTTGGTGTAACTATAGATAGTTGTTATATGAAGTTATTTAGGCATGACTTGTTTTTAAGGATTCCATGTTATCTTTTTTTTTTCTAAATTGTTTTAAAGTATTGATTAACAAATTGTTCTAAAATTTTGCCAGGGTGTAAATATCAATCTGAATTCTGAATCTGAATGTACTTCTTATGGCTCATGTTTTTACCTTCTTTAAAAATAGCAGTGGTTTTTGCCCTTCTCCAGTTTGCTGATGTAGTTAAGACAGCTGCATCTAATCTCATGTCAATCACTTACTAGCTATGTAACCCTGGGCAAATCATTTAACTTATCTGAGCCTCAGTTCCCTCCTCTTTAAAATGGGGATAATAATAATACTTACTTCATAAGGTGGTTAGGAGGATCAAATTAGATGAGAATGTTTTTAAAGAACGTTGCAGACTTTATTGATCTATTCAGATTTCATTTACCTTCAGGATGTCTAATGATGGAATTCTAATTTTTCTGTAGATTTGCTTAAAGTCCAGGCTTCATGCTGCCTATTCATTCCCCTCCCACTTTTTTTTATTACCAACTCCAAGATAATGCAGTTATTTTCTCCCAAAATTGTTCCCATTTCTACATCTCCAGCTAATTTTTCTTACGTTGGTCAGGATTTTTTTACTATTTGGCTACTGTGTCTCTTGTTGCTTTCTTTATCAGATGAAAGGTGAAATTATCATCATCCCTTCTCTCTCTCTCTCTCTCTTATCTCTCTCTCTCTCTCTCTCTCTCTGAGAAATACCTTATTTTATCCATGAAACAAAAGCTTCAGTCTTGGCAGGTTATCTCCTAGTCACTGTAAACTTAGTAAGGCTCACCAGTAAATATGTATTTCATAAAACAGATCAAAAGAAATGGGAATATCTTCAATGTCGTTAAATTTACCCTTCTTCATTAAAATTTAATCTTCCTTTGACTAGATCTACTCATGTCCCTTCTGCATAGCTCTTCTTTAAATTTGTTTTGATTCTTAAATTTAAATCACAGTAAAAATTGCCAGCAATTGAATCTTTTAAATTACACAGTAAATTGAACACAGTTACAGTTCAAGTACAGTCAGCACAGCAGAAGTCAAGATGTGTGATGTTCCTCTTCAGCCAGACATCACAGATGCATAGCCTCACATTAGGGGGTTGATTAACACCAAACGTGAAATAGTCAACAAAGAATTCTCATTTATTTTCAAACTCTTTTTTCTTCCAATGAGCCATTACCTTTGTAAGGAAAATAGTCATAATGCAGTTAGTAATATCTGTTGCATCCCTATTACGTGTAGGGAACTACATTGGATACTTTGGTAAAGTAGAAGGTAAGGTCCTTCTATTTACAGAATTGACAGTTAAATAGAAATAAAAGAAACACCAATACTAGAATTAAAGCCTATGTACTACCCACTTCATCTATACAGAGATAAATATATGCAGATATTTTTCACTGAAAAAAACAACACTACCATGACCCTTTTCTGCTAGATTTACTATTTATGACCAGAAGATAGAAGGAAAGGTTTCTTTGTTATTAAAATGGAAAAACTGTAATATATTTGGTAATTTGTTTGAAAGATAGAAATAATAACGTATGAGAATGTTTCTATAATTTCTTTTTCCACATGCCCCCTGAGATCTCTAGAGACAAATATGACCAGTCTGGAGGTTTTCTCCTTCATGATTACTTCTGTCTTTTTTTTCCCCCTTGGAAGGTTTGCGACTTAAGAAAAGTTAATGGCTCATCCTAAGTCATATAATTTTTTTTTTTTTACAAAAAGTAGATAATGTAAATGAAATGTTATAGTTTCATATATGATCATTTTAGTTCTCATTCATATGTATTTGTATATTTAATGTTTATTTTTGCTGAAGGCTACTAAGTTTGTAATAATTTTAAGTAGTTAGAAAATTCTGATAAATAGGCAATGTGATATAGTGGAAAGACCATTGAATTTAGATTTAGAAGATTTGGGATGAAGTCATCACACTTCCACTAATTAGTTGGGAGACCTTGGGCAAATCACTTAACCTCCCTGGGCCTCAGTTTCTTCATCTTTAAGATGAGCATAATAATACCTACTTTGACAGCTTCAGAGTTGTCAAAACACTTTTTGAATCTTAAAGTTCTAAATGTAAGCTGTTATTATTACTCTTTACTTCAAAAAAAATTTAAGGAACTTATAATATATTCTTTAGGGTTTTGTTTTTAGTAGATTCGCATTTTGGTTGAAGGAGTCTGATAATTTTCTTTGCATTAAATGAAAGTCAATAATGAAGTTATCACATAAAAGTGAAAAAAATAACTAGTAGCAAGGACAGTTCATAAGGATATAAATCCACATAAGCAATTTGATTATTATTTCAGATGTTTATCTTGTATATTTTATTTATTCAGTGTTCATATAAAATAGGAACTTTTGTATCTTGAATACAGTGGGCTTGTAGTTTACTCTGAAGGACCTTTGAACCTGGACCGTAAGGCAGAAGATATGTCTGAGCTGTTTAGACCCTTCCACACTTTGCTAAGAAAAATAAGGCAAGTAGTAATTGACTCCTCTTTCCTCAAGTTATCATTTTCTTCCCCTGAAGTGAGAATGTGTGAAATTATAGAATAAATCAAAGAGAGTATGAAAATGGCTTACGCTTACAATTTCTCCATCATTTCCTTTTTCTTTTTTCTTCACATATGCCATTTTGTGAACCCAGCTGTTCCTTCCAACTGTCTATCTTAACTTTGGCATTTTCAGCTTTTCTTTTGTATTGTTATTAGCATTTTATTTGCTTTTTTCTTCTGTTCAGATATTAACTTGCATTTTATAAAGGGATTAGAGAAATTAGTCTCAGAAATAAATTTTCATTTTTCTGTGAATTGTACAACCATTTTATCCTAGTAATGCTTTTTAGGTTTCAACCTAACTATGGTTCTTACATGTTTTATTAACAGAAAAGAGAGAGACATTATATCATTTTTTAAAAAAAATTATTGATTTCCTTAAGGGCAGTGTTTACATGTAGGGAAAAAAGCATACTATTTCACTTATCAAATATATATTCATTTACATTTTTCCATAGCCCAAGAATGACCTATATCATGTGTTATTGTGAATAAACAACTCTAACTTACCTTCAGATCTTTGCTAATGACCTACATATTTTTTACATTGATCTATAATTAAAAGTCAGGAATATTTTTTTATTTGATTTTAAGTTACTTCACCAATGCTAAAATCAGTCACTTTTTTAATATGTTGCTTGCACTGACAATTTTGCATCATAGAGGCTATAAATAGCTTCTATTCTGAAATTTACTGTTATTTATCTGATAGCTTTTACTTTACAAATGAGCCTTCTTTATGTTAAACGTTTAATTGATCTCTTTTCCTTCTGTTTCTAAGCTGTTTCTAATGCTTGCTGTCTATCAAATCTAGAAGTTAAACTGTAATCTATGCCTTGAATTTGATTCTCTGAGAAGTATTTCAAATGAATTAAAAAGGGGTCCATGAACCTCTTTCTTGCTTTAGAAATATATGCTAGATTCTTTACTAGTAAAACTAAAATAGTCAATTATTTAAATGTTTAAAAGTTGCCAATTGAATTGTTTATTCCATAGTTTACTTATAACCAGTGTTAAGTAAAATGGGTTGACTTTTGCTTTATTTTCCCCTTTTGATTGTTAGTACTGTATTTTTTTCATTAAATGTAATTACGGGATTATATGCAGTTATTTAGATAGCCTTAAATTTTCAGTTTTGCCTTGATGGTTTCAGCAATATAATTAGCATGAAATTTATCTTTGAGTCCTATGTTACATTGTATTTTATTTCACTGTATAGCTCCTATATCTTTTCCTGAGCTTCCAGATCATTAAAATTGATATTGTTTATTTTACTGTAAGCTTCTAACATTTAATTTACCAGTACAATGCTTACAGCATTATGTACATGTACAATTTAATAGAAACCATTTAATAATGAAGACCATATTCTGACAATGTCTAGTGCAGTAGCAGCATGACTAGAGAAACATTTATTTTGAAAAAGCTTTTTCTCCTACAAAGCTTGCTGTTTAATGATTTGGGGGCAATCTAAACATGGCAAGATTTCTTACCCTTTTGAGCTAGTAACTGATCATTTCTTACTTTTGCTTCTTTCCTGGAAAGAAAACCAAAGTTAACAAATCAAGTTAGTTCAAGTGATTCAGAAATAGCTGTACACAATGGAGAAAATGATGAATTTTTTAGCCATAGAAACAGAACACCCAATTACAAATAGTAATAATAGTAACAATGACAGTTGCCACAGAATCTCAGAGTTGGGAGGAACTTTAAAAGCCATCCTGTACCTGAACAAGAATCCTCTCTTACAACATACCTGAGAAGTCTTTGTTTGGAGACTACTAATTAGGAGGGAACTCACTGCTTACCAAGTCAGTCCATTCAAGTTTTAGGTAACTCTCTTCTAGGAAAGAAAAAAAAAGCTGTTTAGTCTCATTTCTTGTACTTCTCCCCTCATTCATTCTTCAGCCCTTTGCAATCTAGTTTCTGAAGTCACCACTCTACTGAAGCCGCTCTCTCCAGTGGCTTGACCCCCAAACTTGATGGCATTTTCTTAAAACTTCTCATTCTTTACTACTTTGTACCATTTGAAATTGTTGACTACCTTCCCCCATACTTTCTCCTCTCACTTCTGGTGATTCCTTCTTGGTTTTCCTTCTACCTGACTGATTGAACTTTTTCAGTCTTCTTTGCTAGATCATCATCTATACCCTGCCTCCTAACTATAGGTGTATAGGCTCTTTTCTCTTTGTACACACTTTCTAAGTGACCTCATTAGCTGTCAGAGGTTCAGTTATCATCTCTGTACATATGACGCTCAGATCTATATATCCAGCCCTAAATTTTCTTCTGAGCTCTGGTCCCCCATCACCTAATCCTACTGAACATTTTGGACTGGATGTCCTTCCCATAGGCATCTCAAACTCAGCATATCCAAAAAAGAACTTACTGTCTTTCTCTACCCCCACAGAAAACTTCATCCCTTTTTTTTGAACTTTCCTATTTCTGCCAAAGAGTTCATCATCCTTCCAATCATGCATTTTCACAACCATATAATCATTCTCAAATCCTGATTTTTCCTCACCCCACATATCTAATCAGTTTGCTAGTCTTGCCATTTCTGTCTCCCCAACATCTCGTACATCTGTCACAGCCTAAGTAGCAGCTGCAAGTACCACATCACGAGTGCAGGGTGGGAACTAGACCTGGCCTGGCCCAGTGTTCTTGACCCAAGCTACACCTAGGCTTATAGACAGGGACTAAACCTATGTCACTGGCATCAAGAATTTACTTTTCCTTTTAATCATTTATGCACTTTTATTTTCAGTTTTTTGTAAGACCATTCCTTGCCTTCAGAAATTAACTTTTAAAAAATTAAGAATTTAAGAAACAATCTTGGTATGGTAAAGTTAACATTGGAGTTGTAGTCAGAGGACTTCAATTTGCTTCCTCTGTGAATCTGAGCAAATGTACCTCTTTGGACTGTAACTCTCCTCTAATTCCTGAATCCACAAAGAACACAGGAAGAAGAATATTGAACTTTTCTTAGCACCAAATAAGACTGCCTAATTTTTAAGAAAGAGGTATTGTCCACTTGGATAGGGTTCTGGCTTTGTTTTCCCTTCTGTCCTTAACCTTGGGTTTCTGCTTATCCTTATCATTTCTTCTGTCAAGCGAGAAATTTCCAGCAAAACTTACTCTATAGCTAGTATGGTGATGCTGGTAACATCATCTTGCCAATTCTTCTTCCTGGGTCATTCTGTGAAGCATCCTTCAGCAGTAGTCTTTGACAAGCAGCTTCCAGTCCAATAATCCTTTTATACTAGGAGAGCTGTAGTAACAATTTTACTGATAAGGAAATCAGTGACTGGAAAAGAAGCTTCCTACAAGAATAACCAACCAAAGAAATGTTAGGATGAAGCACTAGGTGGATACAATACAATTTCTTCATCTTTCATTTTGAGCTAGGCAAACTGCTGCCTTTCTCTGTGGCTTTGAGACCTTAGTAGATGACTTCACACCTATTTAAATCTTTAAACAGACTTAGCAACCCATCTGGAATGGCAACAAAGCCACCAAAATCTGCTGTTTTAAATAGAAGCATTGCTGTGATCCTGAAAATAAACTGAGGTTTGGAGCGAGGTTTCAGGCAATTGGCCAGAAGATCTCTGTATTCCCAGCTCCAGTTCAGCATCTCACAACACAAATTGCATTTTCCTGTGTTTAGAGCTTAGCAATTTAGCATGAAGAGATATCTCTTTCCCCCATCTCCAGGTCAACCTGGTAACTTTCCATTAAATTCATTTGAGAAGTTGCCATATAAAGAAATATAAAAGTCTGGGTCACAAACTACTAAGAATACAACCCATGCTGTCCTAGAAAATTATTCCTTCTTTTCTTTGAATACATTACTTATCCTTTGTTGTAACCTTCAATTTCTAATCCACCAATTCACCTCTATCTTATCCTTAAACTAAACTCACCTCAAAAAAATCTTCTTGGATTAATTCTACCCTAAATTAATCTTTGCTTGACATTTAATCACTTTTGCACTTACATTTTCAGTTTTTAATAAAGGTATCACTTAGCTTAAGAAATTAACTTTTAAAAATTATTAATTTAAGATGCAACTTTGGTGTGGTAAAAACAGCACTGGACTTGCAGTTGGAGGACCTGAATTTACTACCACTTTGAAATTGGGTATGGCACTTCTCCTTTCTGGACCTCAGTTTAATCATCTATAAAATGAAGAATTGGACTAAATGTTCTCTTTTTTTCCTTTTTTAAAAAATATATTTATTTTATTTTCTTTGTTAGATTTTGAGTTCCAAGCTGTCTCCCTGTCTCCGTCCCTCCCAATTCCGCACTAGAGAAGATCAACATTTCAAACAGATGTTTTTGTGAAATCAATACAGTACATGCTTCCACATAAGTTTTTTTCCTCTGGAGGTGGATAGCATCTGCTCTTGAAAGTCCTTTGTAGTTGACTTGAATATTCATATTATCCAGAATAACTTAGTCATGAACAATATTGTTGTTACTATATACAGTGTTCTCTTGGTCCTGCTAGTTTCACTTCATTATTCGTATTTCCATGTTTTTCTAAAATCAACCTGCTCATCATTTCTTACAGCACAGTAGTATTCTATTAGTTTTGTCTTACTATAAATTCTCTGTTCTACAAATAAATAGTAGTTATAATATTTATTGATCTGTACTTGGTGTAATTGTAATTTGAAGGAAGGTATATCTGCTGAGGCCAGTGATGCCAAAGTTAGATAATGTCATTATGTCAGTGTTTTGATAGATCTCTGGTTTCATGGATGTGGACGTACTGTCCAGTAAAGGTTGCAATCCTTGTTCATATCTTCTTCAAATCATATCTTCTTAAAAATCTGACATTCTGAGGACTTTCCTCTATATCTCTTTTTTTAATTATTAAAAAGTATTAGTTGAAATAACATTAAACATCAGTACAAATA